GGTCGATCCTACCTTCACGGACAGCATGGGCCACTTCACTCGACGCTTCGAGGAGCGTCTTAGGAAGTACGACAAGAACTCCATCAATGATGACTGTATCGAGACCTACCTGATGAAGAGTGAACGCAAGTTCTTCAATATGTACAACGACGCGCAGCTTAAGAAGCACATTGAAGACAGACCCATGACCTCGCCCAAATCTGAGAACTTTGTCCAGGACACCTCGTACAATCGTGTCTCAGACGCAGGGCCGAACTCCAACGAAGATGAGATTGACCGATGGCTCGCTCGTTTGGGGTACAGCCGTCCGATGTTCCTACAGCGATTCATGAGGCGGCGCATTGGAAATTGGCCGATTTACGCTCTCTTCCTTGGTCTTGGGCAGATTATCGCGACGAACTCCTCGCAAATGACCTTGTTGGCCGGTCAGGTTGGTGAAACAGCCACCAAGGTATATGTTATTGCCGCGATTTACTGTGTTTCTTCGATCTGTTGGTGGTTCCTGTACTACACTGTTCCTTCGGTGATCGTCCTCAGTCTTCCCTGGTTTATCTACTGTATGGCTTTCGTGGTCATGGGCATTTCGCCATTCGGTGCCTCTACTCTTGGTCGCGCTTGGGCTCAAAATGTGGCTGCTGGTGTGTATGCTGCTGCGTCCTCCAGCGGCTCGCTCTTCTTCGCCCTCAACTTTGGTGATCAGGGTGCAGTCCCCGTCAAGGATTGGATGTTCCGTGCCGCTATGATCCAGGGTATTCAGCAAATCTACACCGTCGCTCTCTGGTACTGGAGTCAAAGGGTCACAACGGTCGAGGTCGCCGGCGTTTCTACTCTCGCCCTGAACACCTGGCGCCTGACTGCAGTGGTGATGCCCATCGCCGCTGTGTGCTTCGTGATCGGTGTCCTTCTTGCTCTGGGTCTGCCAAAGTACTACCGTCAGGCACCGAGCCGTATCCTCGACTTCTACACCTCGCTCCTCCGGCGCCGCATCGTCCTCTGGTTCTTCTTCATGGTGATCATCCAGAACTGGTTCCTTGCCGCTGCCACTGGTCGCAATTGGTCCTTCCTGTGGTCCTCGAAGCATGCGAAGACATGGGAGGTTGTTATCCTCGTGATTGGGTTCTTTATCGTGCTCTGGATTGCTATAATGCTTCTCTTCCGCTACCTGGGCAAGGAGCATACCTGGGCACTCCCTGTCTTCGGATTGAGCTTGGGTGCTCCCCGATGGGCCCAAATTTGGTGGGGAACCTCGAATATCGGGCACTACCTTCCTTGGGCTGGCAGTCTTACCTCTGGTGCGCTTGTTTCGCGAGCCATCTGGCTTTGGCTGGGTGTTCTCGACGAGATACAGCAAGTCGGACTTGGTATGATCCTCCTGCAAACGTTGACCAGAGTCCACGTTTGTTTTGTGCTCTTGGCCGCACAGGCCTTTGGCTCCATCGCTACGATGGCCGCGCGTGGATTTGCCCCGAACAAGGTTGGACCAGGTGGTATTTCGCCCGATGTGGGCACCAGTGTTGACAAGGTTGGAAACGCCTGGTTCTGGATCTCGCTTTTCTTCCAACTTCTGGCAGCGTAAGTGTTTGCCCTCGTCTTCAATCGTTGCGTACAGTTATACTAACGTGGTTTATAGCTGGGGTTTCTTCTTCTTCTACCGAAAGGAACAGCTCAACAGGCCTTGATGTGATCATGACTTGTGTTTAATCTTGTTTTGCATATACCATGCATATATATATCATCTCATTTGCATCTATAGAGAGCCTGTATAGACCCGTTTGGTCTTTTTTTGTCTGTGGATTCCGCAGTGTTTCTTAGCGTTGTGGGTATGATAGAGTGTGCTTGCTGTATATACTCATGAGTAAATAGTTTTGGAGAGGTAGCTGTTGTTGTGTGGTGGTACATATATCAGTTCTCACGTCCATTCTTCTTCCCTCAGGCTGAGCGTATCCCATGATAGATAGTAGTCTTCCATATTTTCTATTTTTTCACCACATAATTGTAGCAGTAGCAGTTAGGGCTACCGGCCGGCCATGGCCACCGAGAAAAGTCTCAGGCTACGCCTCACACCCCCCGAGTTCCCGAGAACCGGGGTCACGAAGAGAATTTGTACACGACAGAAGAAATGGACTCATGGATTTGGATTTGTGGATCGGAGTAACAGGCTGCTTAGTTCAATAGCTCATGGATTGTCTGGCCAGGTGTTCACGAAGGTTCCAATCCCGGATGGGACATTCCGAATCCGGTGATACTACTGTATCTGTGCCTATTCCTGTGCCTGTGCCTGTGCCTGTGCCTGTGCCTGTAACCTGTGCCCGCAGTGGTGCGGTGCGTCACTGTCTGAATTATGGCCGTTTGCGGCGGGTTTCGTTCCCTTTATAGGATTCTTATTTTTGTTATTCTTGAAATGTTCTTTTTAGTCTTCGTCTATAGCTTGGGTATCAACCAGGCTGTTATTTGTCGTGGTACTGACATGGAGCAGGGAGTTGTTTGAGGGTAGGTGCGATGTTATTGCGATTCGGATGTTTAGATCTTAGTTATTGCTGGGGTCTCGTGTTCATTGACTTATTTGCCTGCCCTGCGATGCTGGAGTTCCTACTCTTCGAGTATCTTTGACTCAGGAATGGTTGATATTCACATTTCTACTACATACGGTCGGTGCGAATTGTTTTCTCCCTTCCGGTCCCCTTACAGACTCATCTTCCCCCTCGTCTCGACGGGGACCCCCAGAACCAGCAAGCCGGCGAGGACGAACATGCCGCCGCTGATGTAGACGGGGACGCTGGTCTGGATGCCGGCGACGATGGCGATGACGGGGGCGAGGATGCCGCCGATGCGGTTGGCGCCGCCGACGAGGGCGTTGCCGGTGCCGCGGTACTGGGTCTCGAAGATCTCCGGGGTATAGGCGTAGAGCACGGCGTACAGGAGGCTGCTGGTAAAGCTGTAGGCGCAGTTCCAGCCCAGCAGCGCGGCCGAGGAGCCCGCCGTGGTCGACGCCAGCAGGAAGGCCCCCGTGCAGCAGGCGCCCACCGCCAGCGTGCCCTTGCGGCCTAGCCCGGGGATCTCCACCATGACCCCGCCCACCAGACTGCCGGGCACCCCCACGGCGCTGATGATCAGTGAGTTGCGGTAGGTGAGGTACGTGCTGCCGTCGCCGAATTGTACCCCTCGGGTTTGTTGGAGGTAAGGGAGGAAGGCGTTGTAGAGCGGGAAGCCCAGGCCGATTAGCGCCCAGATCAGGATCATTAGGATCGTGGTGCGCGCGCGTTGGCGTGACGCGAAGAGGGCTTTGAGTGAGGTTAGGCTGAGGAGGGAGAGGCGCGCGCGGAGGTGGTCGGCTAGGCGGAGGGGGTGGTGCTGGTGCTGGTGCTGGGGCTGGAGTTGTTGGGGTTGAGGTTGCTGGGGGATGCGGGCTGCGTTGTCATTGTTGTCGTTGGCGAAGCGAGAGCGGTCTTCTCCTCCGTCTTCGTCGGTGAGGTCGTCGATGGAGAGGGTGGTCGTCTTGCCGTTGCGCCGGGCCACTTCGTGGATCACCGTCACGGATTCTTCGTACAGGCCCTTGCCCATGAGGTATTTGGGGGATTCGTAGAGGGTGAAGAAGACGCAGCGCGCGATGCACATGACGAGCGCGATGCCGCCCATCGTGAGCAGGAAGTAGCGCCAGCCCATGTTGGCGGATTTGGTGCAGTTGGCGGCCGAGGCGCACGTCATGTTGCCGATCAGCGGCCAGGCGACGAGGTTGGCGAGGACTTGCGCCAGCGCCCAGTTCAGCGAGAGCACGGTCAGCAGGTACTGATGCGAGCCCGGCAGGAATTCGAGGAAGATGGCCGAATCGACGGGCAGGTTGCCGCCCACGCCGAAGGACCATAGGGCTGTGAAGACCCCGACCGCGGCGAAGGTGGGCGACCCCGCGGCGATCAGCCCGAAGATGGCCGTGATGGCGATGGTCATGTTGAAGGCCCATCGGCGGCCGAACACATCGCAGGTGAAGCCCCAGAAAAGCGAGCCCGCCAGCAGTCCGATGTTCTGGGCCAGCGACAGTAACGGCGGCTGCGCGACGTGGAATTCGTAGGAGACGGGCACCAGGATCAGCGAGGTCACGATGGGCCAGAGGTTGTCGCTGGCCCAGCCAAAGCCGATCACCCCGAACAGCTGCCATTGATACCGTCCCATGCCGATCTCTTGGATGGCACGGTTCAGCCGGTCCGCCTTGAAACGATAGTCGGATGCTGCGGCATCATCGGGATAGGATGACTGCTCGGATAGTAGACTGGTAGATTGTAAAGGCTGTGACTCGCTGGGCTTGGAGGAGAGTGTGGTTGTGGTTGTGGTCATGGTCATTGATGTGATTTAAAGATGTGTTGGAGAAATTGGAGTCTGAATGAGGGGGAGGGGGATGGAAATTAATTGAGTCTTGAGATATACTTCGGTCGGTCGGTCGGTGGAGAGGATGCGGGGATTCCCCGTTAAGCTTATTATCGTCGCAGCCTCCACTTTTACCTCTTCACCAGTTCATCACTTCACCATTTCCTCAATTTCTTCCAGACAGATGTATGTGCAATATCCACAGTCCAAGTGTCAATCAGAACTTGCGAGAAGAGCGAGAGGGAAAGAGAAAGAGAGAGAGAGAAAGATGATGCGAGGGAAAGAGAGAAAAAAAGTTAAGTAAGCGAGAATCGACAAGGAAGGGATGACGCGATCGGACAATGAATGGCTGAACAACCGACGACTGCAGCTCACATGAGTCCCTCGAACTTCCTCCTGCCCAGTCCTGCATGAAAGAAAATCTCGAGATACGAAAGAGGATCTTCCTTGTGATTCATATAACCTACATACTGACTTACAAGCACCTACGGAATCGTGAGGTAACAATTACCAGGCTGATCCATGATCTCAACAACTCAATGATCTCAATGATCTCAATGATTTACAATGATTTCTCCTCCTACCGACATTCCTTCCACTGCGACGGTGACACATCAATCCCACCTTGCCTTCCACGCCTATCAGCCTGCCAAGGCACTGTACGGGGTCAACCCGGGATAAAACGAGGTTGGGATGGTCGGAATAGGAATGGAAGCAGTGAGGCCAAATGCGGTCGCCAAGTCGGCTGCCATGGTTGTCGCCGAATACCCTGATGGAGCCGCCGTGACAGTGCTGGTCGTGGTGTAGGATGTGTGCGAAGAGCTGTCCTTCAGACAGTATCCCGATCCGTAAGCGGAACGGCACAGGTACAATTCACTCGAGCCGCTTTCGGTCCAAATGGCAATATCTTCCAACGTCAGGTCCGTGCAAGGCGCCGTGTCACTACACACAACTCGGATCGGTGGTCGGGTCGCTCCGTTCGCCTCGGTGCCCTTCCAGTTCTTCACAGTGATGTTGTTCAGCTGCACTCCGTCCCCGGCCACCGCAGTCATGCTGCTCCAGTAGCCATCAATGTCGAGCGAGTACGCATTACCGTGCCCTGAACAAAAGGCATCAGTCGACACATTCAAGCCGGAAAGGCGGGGCATAGGCAGCACTAACCGATGAAGTTTTCCAGCAGAACATTCGACACCGTTCCACTGCCACCATTGCTCTTGATCATGTACATCTGGTTCGACGACCAGGTGTAAACATTGCGGTAGACAATGTCGGTGACGTCGGTGTCGGCCCCGAGCGATCCCATTGCGCAGCCACCACTCCAATTGCAATAGATACTCTCAACCAGGATATTGTTGGCAGGGCTCTGCGGTGCGTCTGTCAGTCAAGACTCGAGCGCGTCAATGCATGCTTGCGAAAGAAAAGCCTTACCTTGACTGTTACACATTCATCCTTGTTGGTCACTTCAACCTAAACGAATGCACATCTCGTGAGCGACCGAGAAATAGCATATTGTCACTCGGGCCTGACTTACATCGTGAACCCAGATGTTGCTTCCCCAGACATCAATCCCGTCCAAGCCGCCCTCATTGCCACCACGAATCGCCATGTTGTACACCTCGCCATCGGAGCAGGTATCCATGGTAAAGTGAAAAGCAGGCGCGTCCACCAAGATAATATCGTGCACGGAGAAATGAGTCACGTCGGTCAAGCGCAGAATTCGTGCTCCGTAGGTACCCTCCGCATGGTACACATAGCCGAATCCCTGCACAGCACCTTTGGAGGTGCTACTGAACAGCTCGAAATCGGTGGTGTCAGTGACCGCAATCATGTTCCCACTCGCGGTACCTGTGCGGTAGATGATACCATCCAGCTGGATTGCGGTCGCGCTGCCCCCAGTCAGGGTGACCCAGGTATTTAGGGCATAGTTGCCGGATGGGATGTAGACAAGACCTCCGCTTTTGCATGCAGCCCAGGCCGATGTGATGGCAGGCCCAACGTCGGTCGAGTTGTCGGCCACTGCACCGTAACTGAGGATGTTGCATGTTTTTGTCGCACCTTTGGTGGAAGCGGAGGTCAACGGGCCAACACTGCCAGAGAGTTGACCGCTGACGAGCGCCGGGATAGCACCCAGAGCGAAAAGGAAAAGACCACGCATGACTGGCTTGGATCAATGGGAGCAACCTCGACGTGCTTGATTCTTGGAATTCTTCTCAAGAACTTACGCAGCAATCGCAGCTTTTATATCGCAGTAAGGAGCGTTCATGGTGATTGTGGTCAGGGGCTCATGTCCACCGGAGAATCTACAACGTACACTTATCCTCGAGCCCCTCGAGCCGCTGGAAATCAAGCAGGCTGAAGATTCTCCGTCCTGTCGGACGTTGATTGTGGCTTCCTACTCCGTGACATAAAGTGTCAGAACCCCTTTGGATGATGATCTCTACTGTTTTTGCTAAGAAACCCAGTGGAGTGACAGGAGTCAAGCTTCCTCACAGAGGCTTCAAACTTCAAGCTCCTCCTTATTCATGGAGAATTCTGATTGATTATACCGCCACGCAAGCCAGTGTCAGCGCTACTTGAGCATCCGTCTCGAGGCTTGAAGCGCTGATCACATCCCAAATTGATAGTGATTTCTGCGGAGGATTTAGTTCCAGGGGCGGCCAGGAGGGTTCATCTCGGCAAATGTCAAGCAAGAACTCATTCCCCCAGCTAGATGCATCGCCTGACGGACTTTGTGGGGTACGTGCGGCGGGGTGATGCGTGCAACAAGCAATCACCATAAAGCTTCTGCCCTGAAAATCCGGGTCGGTTTGATGCGAGCAAGAAAGAAGACATTGTTCAGGTGCAGCTGTCGGGTGAATGACTGCCGAGTATCCAGTGAGTTGCGTGCCAGTTGGGTTCTTCGTGTTGCACCCAGCGCTCAGGCCCTACCAAGACGGCCCAGCATCACATTCGCGACGCCAAAATCGCTTGATATTCGACGCCTGTGTCCCGCAATTTTATAACCGAGTAATACAAAATGTCGTCATTGTTCTCTTCAGGGGCACTCTGCCTACGACAGCTGCACTATCCCCGAAACCACCATATTATGAAGAGTCAAAATAGTCTTGAAGATAGGTAATCTAGATAGCAAGCTTTGACCAACCAGAGTCATCTCTTGGCTAGTTCCGATCCTAGTATCCCGCGCTCTAAGCCATGAAACGCTCGCTCAACGCCCTCTGGAATATCGACATGATCAATGAACCCTTTACCCCGTGGCCCATAGCCATTATCATCATCTCTCAGGCGCGGTATTTCACCCATCAGCAGTCCCAGAAAGCGTGATATGCTCCACAGCGAATCTGCAGGGATCCCATCTACATCGTACACCAGCTCATTATCCTCCTGCAACCGGACCCGCGGCACTATGATTGGCCAGCTTATGAAATCCGGGGTCAACGGCGCAAAGGCCTTGACGAATGAGGCAATCGTCCTTCGGGCCATGGTGGGATCCTGGACGATAATTACGGAATTGGGTGCCGGAATGGCATTCCTCTCCAGCAGGCGCCTGGTCTGTATCGCGTTCTGCCCGCAATTCGTGGACTGGTCCTCGACCAGCAGGTTGCCTCCGGCCTTCCGGAAGTCCGAGGCCACGGCCTCGAAACCTCGCGTGAAGATGGTGTGGAGCACTTGGGCTTCTGCCTTGTCTTGAATCTCTGGGGCAAGATGCGCATATTTGGGGTGCTTGGACACCGCCTCATAAAGGTAAGGGGTGGAGTGGCCAATCCCGCCGCAGAAGACGAGGGTCTTGGTGGCGTGCGGGTTGTGAGCAAGGAATGTGAAGACCGCTTCAGCCTGGTGGAGGATGGCAGACACGCAGATCACAATGCAGTCGACTGCATGGGGGGGCGGCTGTGCGGCGGGGAGTTGCTCATGGGCGAGGAACGTGGAAATCAGGTTGATGTTGTGGGGGTCAATGGATGACATTTTTTTTCTTCTTCTTTCTGCTTGTTGTTCTCTTCTTGTGTTTGTTTGAATGGGATCAATGACTGCTTCTGACTGCTTCTGGATTTATTAAGATTCTTGTTCAAGGTTGTTTTCTGTGATTGAGAACGGTAGATGAGACGGCAGACGGCACGGGTAGAATCAGCAGTGGAGAAAACCACAAACTACGGATGGCAGATGGAGCCGATCTCCGTCCCTCGGCATTGCCTAATTGGGAAAGTCCTCTGCTCTACTAGTAGTACTAGGTACCTACCGACTCATACTATCTACTGCACAATACCTACTTACCTCTACTTACGTTTCCCGCATGATCATCAGCTTGGTTACTTGATCCAACTGCTACTCTGTTCTTAATAACTCCTCACAGCTGGCAAGCATACCACCAACATGAAGCGACTGCTTAAACTGGTCAAGAACCATCCAACCTCAACCGCATCCGCTCTACGCGCCTCGGCAGCTCCCCCAACGTCAGGAACTGCCTCCATCGACAATTTACAGGGCGCATCTGCGGCAGCAGCAGAGCTATCAGATGTCCTTGGTGCCTCTCTCAAGGACATTGACCTTGAAGGTGGCTACTTGACTTCAGCCTGAGGCAGCTTGCTCGTCGCTAATATCTACTGCTGGAAGATAATCTCAGTGCCCAGGCTCGGGCTCTGGCCACGCGCTTGGATGATGAAGCATCCAGATATGACAACGCGCAGCTGAGCCCTGAGCAATGTGACGAGAAGTGGACATGGTAAAGCCGGATCCCCTCAGTTATTGGGGAAGGGCTTCAGCTAATGCACTTAAGTTCGCAAGATCAATCTCTGCTCATATCACTCGCATGGGACTGCGCGAATGAGTCCTACAACTCTACTTCCCCCCGCCTCCCACGTACGATCAAGAATTGTGTATTGACACATGACCATGAAGTTACGCCTTCTATCAATGGAACAGTCAAGGCTGCTACTTTCACAACGGTTGATTTGCAGGAGATATCAAATGGAAATGAGCTTCTGCCTGTGTTGGTGATCGCGATCAGAGGAACTGCCAGTACTGTGGATCATATAGTCAACATCAACAGCAGGCCACAAGATGCGAGTCACTTCATTGTAAGTCAATGTTTCTGTCCTCACTTAAGACGGACATCATTCTGACGGCTGTCTCTATCAGAAACCTGCCTGTTTTGAGCTCGATGATCACTCGCCCAAGAGCAAGCTAGAGGCTCATTCCGGATTTCTGCATAGTGCATTGGCACTGGAAGCCATCGTTTCTGAAAGAATAAAAGCCTACAGTCGTCTCCATGCTGACACCGGCAGTCACATTCTCTTTACCGGTCACTCTGCAGGAGGTGCCGTAGCCTCACTATTGTTTCTCCACTATATCTCAGAGGCTATTCCCAAAAACGCAAGACGCTTCTCTTGCGTCACGTTTGGTGCCCCACCAGTAGTCACATTACCGTTGATGGATGGCATCAGGCACCGAAGATTGCCTACAAATCTATGCTTCAACCTCATCAACGAGTTCGACCTTGTCACTAGAGCAGATAAGAACTATGTCTTATCTCTTGTGAACTTACTACGGTCGCGCAATGATCCATCCCTTGTGGTCGCAGATGCGGCTGCTGGATGCGAGCAAGCTTCTGGTTCATTCTCCGATAACGCTGAAGGTTGCTGGCCATTACCGCGCTCTCTTTACAGCCATGTTGGGCCCCGTGTTATCCTGTTCATGCGATTACGAAGTTCGCAGGAACACTTGCCCCGATTATGCGCTGCCTCGGTGTCCCGGAAAGAGTTTGACAGACTGCTATTCTGTCGTCTTTTTGTTCATAAGCGAAAGTACTATGCGCAGACGGTAGGACAGCTTGTGGCTGGTCAGGCAAACGGGGTGATTGGGGAAGCATGATAATAAGAGCATGTCATCGCTTACAGAACCTCCTTTAAACAAAGCACGCATAAATCGATTTGGCCTCCAGGCAGCACGAAAGAATCGAAAATGCCCTTCGAAAGAACAGGATAAGTGACGCCAGAAAAACCTCTGCCATCGTCGGCGAAAACGGCTACACACTAGAGTCTCGACAAGAACAAGGCTGTTTTCCACTTATCGGATCGAGCAGTACAATTAACCGCCGTTTCGAGGGTCAACTCGGAAGATTAGCTGATTTGACAGATGGGGTCGCATTCTCAAAGTATACATTAATCAGCGGGCTAATTCCGAATCCTTCTCGTTCGGCGACTCTGGGCATCCAGCCTCACTTTTGCACAGCCTCGGATACCCCGGGCTCTAAGCACGAGGCCGGTGCCTGGCCTTGGCGATCCTCGTATTTTCCAGCCTTGCACCCCAGCAACAAACCTACTCCGCAGGCTGTATTGGGAAGGGAGGGGGCCTCAGAACCTCAATCTTGATATGATGTCTTGAGATTGTGGAGGAGCCGAGTTTTAATCTTCAATCTGGCACCCACTGGCATCCAAAAAACCCCCATTCATGCAACAGCCACCATGTCTTGCCTGAGTGGGATTCGCCTCAGGCACCATTTCGAGCGATCTTCGCTGCCGAACATCACTCATGCTCCCCGAGCCCCGTGGAAATTAGTAGGGCCTGCTAGCGCACATTTGCAGTCTGAGCTTGAGACTCTGTACTGGTATGGCGTTAGGCTCGAGCTCGAAAATACCATACGCACTTTGAAAACCTGGCAGCAATCAGAGTATACAGATGTGGCAGTCGATGATGAGCATGACAACAATCTACACGGCTTTGACACATTTATCGATCAGGTTACTCAGGAGACACGGGCGTTTGCGATACGATATGGTAGTGCGCTGTCTGTCTACTACAATCAAAGTCGGGCTAACTTGTTCTGCCGATGTAGGGGAAGAGAAAACTGCGAAGACAGCCGACCAGGACAAGATCTTGTCCTCTGTTATGAACGGCACTGAAATCAAGGAGGCTCTACGCAAAACAAAACTCGCGCAGGTAGAATATCAGAGCACTAACGTTGATGTTAAGGATGAAGTGCGAAGGAACATGGAAGGTTGTTTGTCATTGTCTGCTTCTCTCGCCCAAAGCTAATGAGGCCTTTTAAGACATTGTATCATCTTCCGGTATCCAGGAGCGGGCACGTATCCTCCTCCAAGCTGCGGGTGAGTCTAAAGGATACCAGTCTGAGAGTATCTCAATTGACATTAAGCCTACACAGGGCTCCTCGATATCGACAAACTGATTGAGCACCGTCCACCTTTAGAAGACCTTGGCTTCTGGGCTCGACCTGCCATTCCGCAACGTATGGACCGAATACCACATGATGTATCACTCAGTACAGTTACCTAACAAAATCTCTAGTCACTCTGTCTGGTTTTGATAGTGACTGGAATGCCCGACTTGAGCCTCTGAAATGCTCGGACTGCTCCAGTATCATTCGAGGTAGCATGTTTACCCATAGCGGCAAATCGAACCATGCAAAACAACTCAGCGTCTGCGAGGACTGTTATCGAAAACTCTATCTTGGCAGAGAACAATATGTCAAAGCATACAAGCACTGCGTTCTCGCCGAGGCCATTACTCCTGCCTTAAGTCGGAATATATGTCATTGTGCAGACGTCTCTCGCCTTGACAGCACCGGACTTCCGGGTGCCCTCTTTCCAATTTCTAAGGGAGAACGGCATGTTGCAATTCCACTCGCGAAGAGATGCAAATTACTCGAGCTCAATAATCGAGTCGCGCTCGCAAAATATCACGGTCTACAGTCTACAGTCCGTGATCATAGGAAGAAAGACAAGAAAATGACCAGATTCCGAGTCAAATCAAATGGTACAGCTGCACAGGGGATATATGAGCCAGCCAGGAAAGTAACTTTAAAAGGAGAATCCGATTCGAAGCAGCCGCCCTTGCGACCAGAACCAGAAAAGGAAGTCCCTTTCGCTCGTGACCAGGATACAAACACTGCTTCAGTGAAGGAAGCCATGGCAGACGAAGATATACCGTTATTCTTTCGCCAATTTGCCCAACAATACCCTTTTGGCAATGTTCACATGGCCTTACGAGTTGGGCCCCTGGTCATCGAAAATGGGGTCGCAAAGTAAGCATAGACCTATTTCAAAACATACGCTTCTGGAAGTCTTACTGATCAACACTGCAGCACCAAGCAAGGCGCCTTGGTTACTATAAGAGAACTACCTACCTTCCACGATAGACCTGATTCCTGCAGTCCATGCTCTCGTCATCCTAGTTTAGCAATTGGCGGCGACACCAAGAGACGCCTTTGGCAGCAGCAGCGCCTCGTTGAAACTCCCAAACGATACAAAGCTATCATGAAGCAGGTTGTCGGGGTACCCTTCACCGGCGCCATTTCTGGATCTTCCTATGCTGAGCAGGAATCTGGGATTATATGGCTTATTGTGGCGGCTAGTCGTGGTTATTTCGACCATCCAGGACTTCCCGTCAAGGAACAGCGCAAGAGTCTAGACGCTGCGCTGGATCAAATAATTGCCAAACTCAAAGCCCTTCTTGAGACAAGGGTCAATATCTATTTGCGGGGGATTGCAAAGAAGTTACTCGATCCAAGTACAACACTTACCTGGAGTGCTATCGGTAATAATTGTCAATCATTTTGCGACTCACTCATTGACACGGATTCATTTGAACCTTTGATTGAGAGGACTTCGGCGGGTCAAGCTTCGGGGGCCGCATCACCGTTATATCTCATGAGCTTTGTTTGTCCACAGGACGGCTATCTACGTAGCCAAGTCCGCACGAAATACGATGTTCCCAGAGGACTGACCGAGGAGTACCTTCTTCGCTTCCACTTCGGTCGACATGATGAGGCTGATGTTCTAGATACTCTCCAGGAGTACTGGTACGACTGGGGCGCGTTTGGTGGTACATTATACAAGTACCAGGATCTTTTTCCCTGGGATTGCACTGAAGCATATCAGCAGCACCCCAAATTCTGCGGCTCTTGTAATCTCGCTAAGCATATCTGGGCATTTCCATTCGACGCTTGGTCTCTAATCGCATTACATCTCCAGCGGGGTCCACAAATGTACGCCACAGCGAAGCCAAGCAATCGAGGAATGGAAGATGTTTCCTGGATGCGTGATCGACTTACCGTTCTCACAGCCTTGTCTCTCCTGAACCGAGGAGCGACGGCCATGGCTCGAAGTGAAAAATTCGTGCAAGCGACCCAATGGCTCCATTCTGCGGACAAGGGTCCTCGACAGGCACACCCGTCACTGACAAGGGTGAAACTGGGAGGGATTCACCGCGCCCAGCCCTATAGCCACTATTACGAAGCGGGGACCTACAGTCATTACTTTCTCGCTAAGTGGGCTTCACGACCACGGCCTGAGCAAATTCAGGAATACGAAGTTTTGCGCAACGAGCGTGCCAGGAGGCCCGATGTTGGTGGCAGCGGTCGTGGCGGGAGATTCTCCTTACCTAGGACGGAGAACGCAAGAGAGGGACCGACAAATCTGGATTTTCTGGGATTTGAAGGGCTTCTATATGACCTCGATCGACTGCATACCAACGATTCTGTCGATGAGAGCTGTGACGAGGTGGCATCTACTGATGCAGATTATCACTCTGCTCACTCTGCTCACTCTTCCCCTGGAAATGCAGATGGCGACTTTCAATCTCAACCCAGCTCTGGATCGATGGCCGGCCCGGAATTATTGTATTCGTCGCATGGTGTCCCTTCGATTGATGACTCCCAGCAAACCAAAGCCAATGAGGGAGCTCCAGTGCAGGAACACCGAGACACAACGTATCGGGACACCGTGCATCCAAACAGAACCGATTACGGAGCCGGCGATGAACGAGATGTTCAATCCACTACCCGAGATGCAGGTTCAGCAGACAAAGAGGATACCGAATGTCGCGAAGACTCGTCCAAGCAAAATCAGTCTGGGGTCAATGACGGTGGCCCCCGAGCCTCCTATCAGTACGACTCCACTTTCGCGACGTGGAAAGGTCACTCGAAGTATCAACATCCCGGTCATGTTGACCATACCCGGAAGACTGATTCTGGCGCAGCAAAATCTACTAGAGATGGAGAGGCCCATACTGGTTCAGGGCACGGGTATTCCAGTACAATTTCCTCTGGGTACGGCAGTCGCAATCACGACGGTTGGTCCAGTGGCTATACTGGGGGTTGGAACCCGTATCTCAGCAGCCGCTCTCATAGTAGTGGCAGTAGCTACCACGGTAGCAACTCGAGTAGTTCCTATGGAGGAGGTAGCTCTAGCTCGTATAGCAGCAGTTCGGCCGGAGGAAGCAGCTCATGCGGCGGTGACTCAAGCAGTTCGTCTGGCGGCGGTGGCTCGAGCGATTCATATTGGAGCAGCTCATACGATAGTGGCAGTTCGTACAGCTCCAGTTGGAACTGATGAATTTGTTGTGTTGTTGTGGTTGTTTAGGAGGGACCGGGTTCATACAATACATACATACGGAGTAGTTGCCGCAGTCGCCGTTCTACGGTAGTCGCCGAGTCGCCGACTGTAGCCGTTCCATCCTGCTTTTACTCGGCCGAATTATTACATACTGTCGAGTACAACGGATTCAGAGAACGTGACTCACCTTCTTGAAGTTCTCCAAAATACCTTATATTCTTGGTAAATTCTATTTCTGATTGCTACACATATCGACATATCGACATATCCATATCTTTATTCTGGAACAACCCACTCAGCTTGGTGTATATCAAGTCGTGGGTGGCGTTCCGCCAATTGCCAACTTTCGCCCTTCAACTGCCAGTAGTTATGGCCTGCCAAAGCAATTCTACACCCATCGAACCCTCCAAACATGATGTGGGTTGGAGGAGGGTTGTCCGTCATTTCACTCCCTCGTATGATTGCCTGGTCAGAATGGCTTCTGTGAGACGCAACAGCTGACCTGGATCCAGCTGGTTCTCCGTCACCATGGGCACTGGAATAGTGTCCGTCCTCTTGAACACCCTGCCCTACAACGGCCAATGGCTCTACTGGATTTCCGTCGCGATCTTCGCCCTGAATGTCCTGCTCTTTGCGACCGGATGTATCATCACACTTCTCCGCTACACGCTGTACCCGGAGATCTTCTTCGCGATGATCAGACACCCTGTGCAGTCGATGTTCATCGGCACCTTTCCGATGGGATTCGCCACCATCATCAACATGTTCTGCTTCGTCTGTGTCCCGGCCTGGGGCGAGTGGAGCCGGAACTTTGCTTGGGGACTGTGGATCTTCGATGCTGTCTTCTCCGTGATCACGGCATTTTCATTACCTTTTCTGTTGTAAGCGGCCTTTCGCAACCTTTGATTCTCTAGCAGCCACGCTCATTTCGCCGGCGATCAGGATGGCTCACGGGAGTGAGACCCAGCTGTCATCGATGACCGCGGTGTGGCTTCTGCCCATCGTCAGCTGTATCGTTGCCGCGTCGTCGGGGGCCATCGTCGCGGACGTGCTCCCCAACCCGCAGCACGCCCTGTGGACGGTCATCGTGAGCTACATCCTGTGGGGCATCGGCCTGCCGCTCGCCCTCATGGTCATGGTGATCTACCTCCAACGACTCACGCTGCACAAATTGCCCCCCAAGGCGGTGATCGTGAGCGTCTTCCTACCCCTGGGCCCTCTCGGACAGGGCGGATTCGGGTGAGTGCCTGCTAAAAATTTCACGCCCCTATATCGCTCACAAACCTTTTCAACCCCTGGGTGGTGGTCAAGAAATGAATGGGCTAACTGAAACGCCTTCAACCATCTTGTAGCATTATGAAACTCGGCAGCGCGGCGCAGACGATTTTCCCACAGACCCAGACGCTGACGCTGGACTCCGGATTTGGGTCTGGGCCGGTGTTCTACACGGTGGGCTTCATGGTCGGTCTGATCCTCTGGTCGTTCGGCCTGGTATGGCTCTTCCTGGCGATTGCCTCGATTGCGCGGTGCCGGAGCTTCCCCTTCAATATCGGGTGGTGGGGGTTCACCTTCCCGCTCGGGGTGTTTGCGACGAGTACTTGTCAGCTGGGGAAGGAGTTGCCGTCGGAGTTTTTTAGGGTGTTGGGCACGGTATGTTTTTTTATCCCTTCATTCTTCCTGCGTGTAAGAATAGGTCGGTCTGGGTGTGAAGGGATGCTGATATTTTGGGTGGGAATAGATTCTCTCCCTCTGTGTGGTGGTGTTGTGGGGAGTGGTGGGCGTGGGCACGTTGCAAGGGGTGCTGTCGGGCCGGTTGTTCTTTGCGCCTTGTTTGGCTGACTTGAAGGCTAAGGAGGGGGAGGACCAGCGCGGGGTCGATGATGGTTCGAAGAGTGCTTGAGGTTTGTTGGGTTTGTTTCTGATATCTAAGGGAAATTCATTCTATTTTTTTTTACACGTGGGTTTGGTAAAATAGAATTTGCGCAAACAGGTCTTGATACTGAAAGAGATCTTGCATCCATAGGTTAGTATGGCATCAATTAGCATCCATGCTGCACGCACGCCGAACAGCGCTCAGGAACAGGTGGGCGAATTAAGCTTAAATGATCAGATCAAACTTTGATTGATGGCCAGGCAGGCTACTAGGTGGTTCCTGTTCTGATAATTTCTTTAATTGTTCAGTTATTTTAGGGGTGACGAATTTATCATTTTTTTTTTCTAAGGGGATTTTTTTTGGTGGTGGTGGATGACGGTTTTGGTTATTTTGAATTCAGGGAAGGGAATATTTATTTTATTCACCCTGCGGGAACCGGATTATAGTGTTTGGTAGTAATGCTCGGGAGTTCGGGACCCAGAAGACGCTAGGACTTCATTGTTATTGTATTGCTGTCAGACGTCACGGGCAGGTAATTTATAGGTTGTCGGCTTCGAGGGATACATAGTACTTACCTACGTAGTACTCCCTCCTAATGTTGATATCGAGGGGTTGTGCCTGGACTGCAAAGTATGTATACAAGTAAAAGATGCCATCATCTTCTGTGTACCGCCGCGGGCGATCCTTGTCGTCATCTCGATTTGTGCCCGACCAGTCCAAGCCCGACACGAAGCCCGGCCTGTGACTGGCCAGCCGAGCGGCAAGTCACGTGCCGCTCCACTCCCCCCAAATAAAACCGCCCCCTCCAAGCAAAAATACTGAAAATCCCAAATTTCCCCAGAGAGCAGAGAAAAAAATAATATAAAAGAGGGAAAATCAGAAAAATTAAAAATTAAAAAATTTAATAAAATAAAAAAAAGGGACGGAGTTCCATCCACAACCCCAAACAAATCATCGCGCGCGACCATCTCCAGACTTCACGATCCATTCCCAGATCCCCCCAAGTACTTCTATTTCGATTCATTGATTGATTGATTGATTGATTGACTGCTTGAAGAGTGGTTTTGGGATCACTATCATCTTTTGTGGTGAGTGCAGAGTAGAGGGAATCTCTGTTCTGATTATTGTCATTGCCTTGTGGGAGAGCGACCGACTGTTCACACCTTGCATTCAGCTTGTTGGGCATTCCTCTGTTTTTCCCTCCAGTTTTCTCTTCCTTCCCCCCCTTTTTTTTCAGCTCTCGCCTTCTTTTTTTTTTACCCTTTCTTTTTTTCTCTCCCCCTTCCCAACCAAGTGCGCGGCTGGTCTTTGTGGATCGACCGTAGTTTCCCGGGGGAGAGAAACGGTTGTTGTCCGTCATTACTGTTAGCCTTACCAGCAAGCTGCTTGCCTTAGCTGCCTGCTTGCCTGCTTGCTTGCCTACTTGCCTGCTTGATCTGCTTGCTTGCCTGGTACTGACCGTACAGTACTCCGTACCGCCCTTTTACTAGTAGCCTGACAGCCTGTGGCAGCCTGAGGCCCTTCGTCCGTCTGTCGCTTCCGGATTGGGAATCGAGCCGGGATCGTTGCTTATTCCGCATTTAATTGTTATCGTCACAGCGGCCGCTTTTCTCATTTTCTATTTTCCCCAGCCCGAGAGAGAAAAAGAAAAAAAAAAAGAAGAGAGTTGCAGACGCGCCCCCGTGCGCGTGTCTGTCATCAACTGTTCCGATCCTGTATTGCAGTTACTGCTCAGGTTCGTCCATCTCTCTCTGTCTCTCTCTCTTTCTTGCTGTCATCGGGCTTCCGACTTTCCACCATCTCCATTGTTGAAGAAGAGCTGGTGGAGTTTTGGTCTGGAATTGGCTTTCTCGCCACCCCTCCAAGGGCCGCCCCCCCCTCCTCCTCCTCCTCCTCACCCCTCCCCTCCTTGCCCCCGGTGTGTGCGAGGGTGAGGTCAGTCCGTCCCGTCCAAGTCAAGTCACTCTCCATCGCGGCACGTACAGTACGTACTCGTACTCACCCACTCCGCCTTGGTCAGCAAACACCACCGCCACCACCACCACCACCACCACCACAGACCGCCCGCCCGACCGCCCCCGTAACCGTGTTGCTTCCTGCCGACGCGGTGGTCACATGTTCGTCGCCTCCCCCCCGAGTATTATCACTCTGGTTGATTTGATATCAGCATATCAGCACCACCACGCTCATCCTATTTTCCCAGGAAAATAGCCACGCAATTGTCTTCGGGTGGGATTAGTGTCTGATACATTCCCCCGAAGATGATGGGCTACAATGGTCTTCCGTTCCATCAGCAACGGGCGCCCCAGCAGAATGCGCATCCCCAGCATCATCATCCTCAACATCAACAACAGCAGCAGCAACAACAACATCAACAACATCAACATCCTCATCACCACCAGCTGCAGTCCCCGTCCATGAATGCGGCCACCGCAACCCATCCTCATCATGGCGCCGGATTAACCAGCAATAGCTCTCTGCTTCGCGCCCATACGCAGACCGAATTGGCCGCTCATTCCCCGGATCCCCGCAAAATGACCCCGGCCTCATCCAGTCCGCTTGTCGGCCTCAATACGGCGGGACATTTCAACTCCTTCCCGGGGCATTTCACCCCGCAGGGCTCGTCCGATCTGCTGTCCCGGAATGCCGACTCGATCGGCCAATTGAAGGATCCCTACCTGTCCTTGCAGAGTCTTCAGCGGAACATGAACCCCATGGCCAATTATCGCTCCCATGCCATGAATGCGCAGGCGGCCATATCGCCCCATGCGCACACCATGGGTATCGCGTCTCCTCAGCAGTCGCTCGAGCGGCTCCAGCAGCAACATCTGCAGCAGCAGCGCCAGAGCGCCCATTCGCTTCCCAATGCGCAAACGCCCACTCCCGCGGCCGCGTCGCCAATGCTCGGGGCCGGCCAAGCCACGCATCAATTCCACCAATCGCCTTTTCAACAGACTCAGCAGGCATCTCCGTACCAGTCGCAGGCTCAGCAGCTGCCTCAGTTCCATGCGCAATATCAGCAATCTCCGCACCAGGCCCCTCCTTATCAGACCCAGGTCCAGCAGTCGCCGTATCAGCAGCATGCGCAGCAGACATTTCAGCAGCAACAGCAGGCTCAGCAGGAAGCTCATCTGAAAGCGCAGCAGGAGGCGCAGCGACAGGCCCAGGCCGAAGCTCAGCGACAGGCCCAGGCCGAAGCTCAGCGACAGGCTCAATTGGAGGCTCAACGCAAGGCACAGGAAGAAGCTCAACAGAAATTGCAAGAGCAGCGGAGGCAGGAGGCTTTGAAAGCGCAGCAGGAAGCCCAGCGTAAGGCTCAGGAAGAAGCGCAGTTGAAAGCACAGCAAGAAGCCGCGCTCAAGGCCCAGCAAGAAGCCCAGCAGCGAAAAGAAGCTCAGCTCAGGGCCCAGCAAGAAGCCCAGCGCAAGGCGCAGCAGGAACAACTCAAGGCACAAGAGGCGCAATTGAAGGCCCAGCAAGAAGCCCAGCAGCGGAAAGCTCAGCAGGAAGCTCAACTCAAGGCCCAACAAGAAGCCGCCCAACGGCAGCAGCAGGCTCAGCAACAGCAACAAACGCAAGAGACTTATCAGCAACAGCAGCAGGCCCGTTTCCAGCAGCAGCATGCTCAGCGATCACCTTTCCAATCCCAACCGCAACAGCTCCAGTTCCATCATTATCAACATCATTATCAACAGCCGCAGCAGTCGCAGCAACCGCAGCAGCCACAACATCAGCAACAGCACAATATCATGCATCAGCAACCGCAGCAGCAACATCAGTTCATTCAGCACCACCAAATACAACCCCCGGCTCGTCAACAGCAGGCTCAAACTCCGACCCAGCCGCAGAATCCACCCCAGGCCCAGCCTCAGGCCCATCCGCAGACCAAGCCTCAGACTCAAGCTCAGACTCAATCCCAGCAGCAGCGTCCGCCACAGTCATCCACCTCCACTGCGGAGAAAAAGACAGCACCTAGTAAGCCACGGAAGAAACAGGCCAAGCCCGCTGCATCGCCAGTCCCCGCTGGGGTGCACATTAACGGGCAGTTTCATCCCGTTTTCCAAGCTCAACTAGGGCCTTCGAGCCAACAACAGCCTGGTGCTAGCAGCCCTGCCAACCCCCCTGCCACGGCCCCCGTTAACGTGGCACCCGCTTCGGCTGCTGCCACTGCTACCGGCTCCGCTCAAGGTGCCGCTGCCCATAGCGCTGCCCCTGGGACTAATTCGGGGTCTCTTCCTGGTGCTGTCCATAATGCCATTCCCGGGTCTGTCGCGGGAGCTCCTTCGGGTTCCCAAGTTGATGGTCAGACTCCTAAAAAGAGGGGTCGTCCTCGCAAGCCGCTCGCTCCTGGGGAGGTGCCAAAACCTCGCAAGCCCAAGAAGCCCAAGAAGCCGCAGGAGACCACCACGATCATTGGCCCTGATGGTACACCCATCACGGTTCCCCTCCCTCCCCCACCACCAGCCCTTGGTCCCGATGGAAATCCCCTGCCACCACCCCCTCCCAAGAAGAAGCGACCAAAGCTCCCTCCTCTGCCTCCGATTGTCTTGCCTGATGGAACCATCATTCCACAAAAGCGCGGTCGTGGACGGCCACGCAAGACGGAGGTGAGCGGCGATCAGCCCCCGAAGCCTCGGCCACCTAAGAAGCCCTCGTCTAAACCGGGTACGGGGCGCCCTCGCGGGCGGCCCCGAAAGGCGGATGTGTTGGCACGAAAGGCAGCAGAGGAGGCGGAAGCGCAAGCCAAAGCCCTAGCTGAGGGGGTCAAACCTGATCAGACTGCAGGGGAATCGGCGCAGATCAAGCAGGAACAGTCACATCAGCAACCGCAGCGGCCGCAACAGCAAACACCGTTGATGCAAGTCCAGCCTCAACAGCCTCAGCAACAACAGCAACAGGTGCAGGCGCAGCAGCAGCAACATCAACAACCGCAACAGACTCGGCCTCAATCTCACCAGGCACTGCAACAGCAGGCTCAACAGCATCCTCACCTTCACCAGCAACAGATTCAGCAGCAAGCTCATCTCCACCAGCAGCAGCAGCAAGCTCAGCAAGCTCAGCATGTCCAACACCAGGCTCAACATCCTCATCAAAAACAGCATGCTCAACAGCAGGCTCAGGCACAAGTACAGCAACAAGCTCGCCAGCAGCCACAAGCTCAGCCACAGGGTCAAACCAAGCCGCAAGCTCAGGCCCATGCAAAGCCCCAGCCTCAGCATCAGCACTTGCATCAGTTCCAGCTTCAACAACCTCCTGCACATCATCAACAGGCTCAAACTGCGGTGCAGCCTCAATTCCAAATACACCAGATGCAGGTCAAGCCCCAACCTCATCTCCAGGCCCATCAGATTCAGTCCCCGCATATCCAGGCCCATCAGTTGCAGTCTCCGCATATGCAAAGCCACCAGATGCAAGCTCAACACCAGCCTCATGCTCCTGCTCATACGCAAGCCCACGCCCAACAGCTGCAACCGCAGCAGCAACAGGTGCATCAAGTGCATCAACAAGCCTCTCGTCCAATGCAGTTGCAACCACAAGCACATCTGCAACCCCATCTTCCCCAGGCGCATCAGTTGCAAGCCCATCAGATGCAAGCCCAGGCACAAACACATCCCCATGCACATGCCCATGCTCACCAGCACCCGCACTTCAACCTTCACCCTCAGCTTCACCCTCATGTCCAGCCTCAAACCACCGATTCAATGACCCTCAATCCATCTCAGAAGCGTAGCGCGCCTGTGGACGACGATCCCCGAAAACGTGCTTTTATCATGCCTCAGCAAATGTAACGGCGTCTTCATCGATGTTGTAATGCACGCCGCTAACGTCCGCCCGGTTTTACCTGTTACTATTTAATCACCAACCCCACACTGGATTTTTTTGGGATGTATCCTCAGCGTTGTATTCACTTTTGTTTATGCCTAGTATACTAGTGGCTTGTTCCCCTTGTTTCTATCCCTGATGACATAGCAATTAACATATCGACCCCGTCTTACATATGAAGCCTACCGGGGTCCGCGTTCGGTTTTGCTGTCTTGTGCGCTGTTCAGTCGCGCCTTTAGCCTGCTTCGGTGTCTATTAGCATAGCATAGCATAGCAGGCATAACCAATGAAGTATATATGATTTCGTCGAGGCCAGGTTTGCAGTGATATCACCAGATTCCGAATGTTATCCTGCCAGCCCAAGCTCGGTTGATTCATTCGTCGTTTATCTCGGGGTCCCTTCGAATCACTGGGATCATACGGATAGGCGCCCGACTCACCGACTCACAATTTCCGGGATTAGTCAAGAGAACCAGATGATTGCCTAGGCGTCTATTACACCAGAAGATCAACATAATGATCCTTGCAAAAGAAGAGAGATGGGGGGGGGAGGGGAAGAGTGTGCAACCCTCGGCATCATCCAAAGTAAATACTGTACGGAATACCAAGCTAAGTTACTTAACTTAGGTGCCTAGTACAGTACCTAGACCAGTTACCTTAGGTTCCACGCGGGCGTTTAGTAAGGTAGGTACTAGGTAACTAACTACTAGGTAGTAGTCTAGGGCTGCTGCCACTTCGGGAAGGACCCAGCCAGCCGAGCCCGGGGCCCTCATACTAAGTACATAGCACATATTGTCCTGTCCGTATGGTACGGAGTAGGTGACGATGACACCCAGTTCCAAGTTCTGCTAACTTGCCATCCCTACCACTCTACCTTAGCGTGATGTAGCTCACTTCTGTCGGGAATTGCAACAACAAGCCCGGGTGGTCTAGTGGTATGATTCTCGCTTAGGGATTTCCTAAACCCCAAGCATATCTGCGAGAGGTCCCGCGTTCGATCCGCGGCTCGGGCCTGATTTCTTTTTTCCCTTTTCAGGGACTGGGATTTTCTTGCTAGGGCGGGGGAGGGGTTTCTTCTTTTTTTTTGTTTGGCTGGGTTGGTTGGGTGGGGGTGGCTTGTGTGTGTTTGTGTATGTGTGTGAGTGAGGTTCTTATATGCGGGAAGGCTATGCTTCAGAGAAGGGGGGGGCGCATGGTTGGAATGTATACTTCTGTATGTATACCACGGAAGGAAGGGCAATTGATTATATTAGAGATTCAAGGTATACAAGATTAAGTTTAAGGGGTTGGTTCACCGACTACAGGGAACTTCTTTTTGCCATCGTATACTTGAGTGGATAGGTAGGTAGGAGGCAGCACTAGGTACGGTACACGCCACCGAGATCGCAAAGTCATATATATACCTACCTACCTACCTACCTACTGCGAACAGTAAAACAGTAAAACAACCCAGCCAGACAAGTGTAGGGACCGGCTTGAACAAGATTGGCCCCACCCATATAGGACAGACAGTGCAACAAGACCGAGCTAGAGGGACAGATTTGAGGGACTGGGCCGTTGATTTCAAGAACATCGAGAAACAAGGTCAAGCAGGCTTATCCGAAACGCACACACACACGCACACAAAAAACAAACCAAACGGAAACAGACGACCACGACGCAAGACTGAGAAATTGATACGCCTCGCTCTTGAATGACAGACACTATTTCGCTCGCTTGGCTTTGAAAGTAAACTCCGGGCGGAAAGTTGATCGACTATATATATCTACATAATACCTGGAACAAGGATTTCCCTGTGGTGTCGTATACACAGCAACTATTCCATCTGACCATCGATTTGACCGTCGATCTTAAGGGCCGGGGGTTCCTCGTCGATTTGCATGGCGGTTGATTCGTAGTCCTCCACGTCCTTCTTGGGGAAAGTGCCCTCATCGCCCTTCCGGGCGAAAGTGTCTTCCTCATCCTTCTGGGAGAAAGTGTCCTCATCGTCCTTCCGGGCCAAAGTTTCTTCCTCATCCTTCTGGGAGAAAGGGTCCTCATCCACCGGGAGGTCCCTTCCGTCCGGGATATCACTAATGTCAATCCCAATGCTCGGGGCGATCCGCTGCACGACGCTGTAGCATTGCCGGAACGCGCGCCGCGCGGCGGTGTGGGTGAACGACAGGTGGTGGAGCCAGCGGAGGGCCTTCTTCATCTCGCGGGTCATGGTGTGGATGTCGGCGAGCGCCGCGGGCGGTTGGTGGTTCGAGATGGCGCTGGAGGTGGTGTCGACGTACTCCTCGCCGCCGGTCGACGGCAGCACGGGCGGGCAGCACGACAGGTGGAGGAGCAGCGCGGTCGTGGCCTGCATGATGTAGTGCAGGATACACCACCAGGGGGTGACCGAGACCAGCCAGGGAAGGTTGGGGGTTTCCGGCAAGACGGACAGGAGCGAGCAGGCGGAGCGTACGCAGTTGCGGGCCATCTCATTGCGGAACTGGCTCCGTGCAGAGGAATTGTGGGAGGCGTTCTGGGCCGAGGAGGAGGCAAGCGTCGGGTTGGGGGACATCGACCCGGACTTGAGGCCGGAGCGGGTGAGACACGGCCGCGAGAGTGTGATGCGAGCGCTGTAATAGCTGATGGCGAGAGATATCCGTTCGCGCTGGTGGGATCTCTGCAGGTCCGGGGGGATATAAAACGTATCGTCCTGGTCGCTCACGGTGAACCGGTACGGCGCCGGGACTTTCATGAGCCAGACTTTCAGGGTGTGATCGTATTTGCGAATGCGCTGTTCAACCTGGCTGGCGCGGTCGCGCAAGCCTTGGATGCTATAGACTTTGTTGATGATAGCCTGCGTGATACTGCAGAGATCCACTAGGAGGTGGAAGAAGAGGGACGGACTGGGTGCACAGGTTGCGAGCCACGAGGCCGTGGTGGTTGCTTCGAGTTCGTTTTGAAGGATGGTGAGCTTGAGACGGCTCGTCTGAAGAGCGGGATCTTCTAAGATGGGCTGAACTTCGGGGCTGTTCCAGGCCTCCTCCTCGAATGGGATAGGCAGTGGTGTCGCACTGAGGCCTTCCCCAACGCAGGAGACTCGGCCGGTGATGGCCGTCAGGAGATGCTCGAGGAGATAGATCGACCACCACAGACGACAGCGAGCTTCTTTGGCAGCCCGCGACGTGCCACTATTCTCCAGGCGGAGGTTTATGCCCAGTGAAACGGCTGACCGAAAGGCCATGCTCGAAAACTTGAAGGAGCTGAAATGACTTCGTCAGTACTCGGAGTTCGCCTCCGGAACGCAGGACTGGAACATACCGATTAACCTGACACATGGCAAGGAAGTAGAACGCCACCAAGAACTCCGCCTGGATCTGCTGGAGATTGGCGTGCTCGAAGATGACGTTCTCGCCCAGGGTCAGCTTCCGTGCCCGGTTCAGATACACCACATCATCGTAGTCACCCCTCTTCTTCCCATACACCGACTGGCAGAAGCGGCTCCCGATGGCGAAGATCATGTTCAGGACGGCTCGCCACCGATCGCCCGGCTCAATCTGCCGATTCCCCTGAATGACGAATTGCGAATACTGAGAGACAAAGAACACTTTGTTGATCACGTTGAAGGACGGATGCACGCTCTCTATGTAGAACCGGAAGAGTCGGTTAGCAACGTCCTTGGGCGGGAGCGCGTACGGGTCGACATCCGCCATGACGGGGATGTCGAGGTCATCCAGGTAGTAGTTCATCGCGGCAACGGGCGTTTCCTGCTTCTGCGCTGGCTGCGGGACCAGCAGGAGCTGCTGCATCTGCTGCTGCCCGTCCGACGCATTGTCGTTGCTGTCCGCCTCATGAAGTTCCTCCATCTGAAGGTGGCGCAGCTCGGCCTCGTCCTCCAGCTTCTGCAACCAGGACACTTCCGAATTCTTCCCAAAGAACCCTGTCGCGACGGCCCGGTCACTGCGGTTCAAATCCTCTTCCACCGTATCCAACTCATTGAGCGAGCCAATGGACGAGGAATCCGACTCAGACCCCTCGTTCTCATTCGGCGGTGGTTCTTCTGGCGTGGTCCCGTCGGAGACCCGCAGCTACTACACTTTTAGCATGCTTCATCCAGCTGACAAAGAAGTGACACTCAACCCGCGACTCAGAAAACCAGCGAAGAGACTTACCCTCAGCGCCCTCCGAATCCTCCTCGCGGTATCTTCGTCCGCGGTGCGCTCCACCTCGTTCAACAGCTGCTCATAGATCCCTACCTTACTGGTCAACGATCCCAATTTCTTTTGGTCCCGCACCCGCTTCACTTCCACATAGGTACAGGTCACATTGTGATCGGCACACTGGCGACAGATGGGCTTGTCCCCCTCACACTTTATCTTCCGCAGGCGACAGGGTTCACATGCCCGCGTGGACCGACGGCGCTGGGTCTGGTTGTTGAAGCTCGTGGTGCGGGGGATAGCCACCTTGCCGACCAGTCTGGACGGGCCGACGATGGCGATATCGTGGGACGACGAGGAGGAGGATTGATGACGAGCTATGGGACGGTTGCGGGAGCGGGATTGCTCCTGCTGGTGCTGGTGCTGGTGCTGGTGCTGGTGCTGGTGCTCCGAGCGTTCGCGCTTGTTGGGATGTCGAGAGGCAGTGCTGGTGATAGTTGTCGTAGTCGGGAGGGGAGGAGGGAGAGGTAGAGAGTGCGAGGGGACTGGGAAGTTGGCGGCATGAGTAGGTGCAGGTTGAGGTTGCAAGCCCGGGGGCAAGGCGGAATTGCTTCTGATTTCCCAAGACCAGTCGGAGCTCCCACTTCGACTGCTGATGAATCCCCCTGCTCCTCCTCCGGCACCGCCGACACCGCTGCTGCCGCTGCCGCTAGGGGTGTTGGTGTAAGTGGTGGGATCGGTGCTGGTGGTGGCAGTGGTGTTGTCAGTGCGCGACTCGGAATCATTGACGGACGAAGAACCGAGGAAGAATGAGCCCGACGAGTCCTCCATGCTGCATTAAGTCGGGGGTAGGAGGAGTATAGCCCATTTGAGAGATAGCATGCAATTGGAGGGAGGCAAGATACTGAGTACGAGTAATAGAAGAGTGGGGCAAAATAGCAAGTGGCGCGCAAGCTTGATTGAGGGAGTTTGGAGGGATTGAGGGGGCGAGGAAGTGAGTACGTGAGGAAATGAGGAAATGAGGAAATGAGTAAATGAGTAAATGAGAATTGAGTAAGTGTAGTGTGAAGCGAAGGCGAGAGAAAGGCGATGGAAAGGATGGAAAGGATGGAATGGATGGAATGTGGGTGGAAAGTTTATGGCAAATGATGTCATCCCCAAATTTACCTTCGGAATTCCACCAAATGTATAGTTTGTATTTACATGTACGTACCGTAGCTGGTTCAAGCCACCTAAAATGCTGATCTACATCCCTTTCAATCATGCAATCATGTTGAGGTAGTTGCTCGATCGTCGGGGAATTACTTGTATTACTGGCCTCGACGCCGATTGTCTATCAATTCTCTACATGCATAGAAGAGTGGCAATACATGGGGATAAGTTTATCCAGAGCAGGGATTATGCCAGCTACTACAGAAAAAAAAGAAAAAAATAAATGAATTATATTGAATCAAATTAAATTCAACTAAATTAAATTAGAATTAAGCTACTCTAGGAAGCTACTCACGGAGAGTAGTATGAATTGCTTAGTGTACACTTAGGGTGTACGGAAGTAGCTTCTCCTTCTATTTCAAACCATTCTCATTGCATTCATTGAAGTCTTTCAACGCAGACTGCACAGAACTCTGTGGTCAAGAACATACCAATAAAAGGGGGTATTTTTGGTTTAATTAATCAAAGGGGGGAGAGGGGATGGCAGCATCGTCCCCAAACATCGGCAATAACAACAAGAAAAATCTCATTCATCTCCGTATCCGCCCGGAAGCAATATCATCTTTGCCCAGGCTCAAGCTTTCATACCGGTCCAGCATCTCAAAAAGACTGGGTTCCCCCTCTATAAGCCCACCATAGCGTTCATCCGTCCCAAGCTTATCCAGTCCCTTGGCGTATTCATCCCACCGGGAGGGCGACGTGGACTCTTCGTCGAACAGCGCCTTAAGCTCATCCGAAACGAGATTCGATCCCCGCAGGTGCTGGCCTTGGCCCCGGGCGCGTACCATCTGACGGAACATGTGGAACAGACTTTGACCCAACGGGGAGCGACTAGCAATGCTAGAGAAGGAGCTGGCTAAGGAGAGAAAGTCCTGGTCAAGGATATCAAAGGACTCGGGGTCGAGCAACGTGAACAGGGCCAGATTGATCGCGTACAAAGCAAAGTGATGCGCGCGGCTGACCCCGTATTCGCGTCGATGGAGGAGGGTCAGTGCAGATATGGCACGTGCGGCAGACTGCACAATACTGGGGGCACTGTATTTCAGGGGCGGACTGCAGCCTGGTGGACTCTCCGGCGTTTGGGGGGCTTCGGATCTAGGACTGCGTTCAGTCCCTCCGGTGCTGTGGGAGAACAAACCGATGACCAAGGTATGGTAGCGCATTCTGAGACTGTCGTCAGCGAGAGGTCAGTCCGCGCGTGTCGGACCTTTCTTCAAGCACACCTCAGCAATATGATATAAGGGGGCGGTCTACGGCATGGCTCAAACACGTCCGGCAACGTTGCGTACCAACCACGAAGCCTTTCGAAGAGCCGTTCTTTAGTCCTATGCTGGTGCTCAACAGACACCACGCCCCCGTCGAGCGAGAAAAGGGTCTGAGAGATGTCTCTGGCGATTTCGCAGAGATCACACGAGTGATCGAAATACTGGCTCAGATAGGAAGCCCGGGCGGGTCGGTGAGAAGGGTATGGCGCCCACAGGTTCGAATCCTCTTGATGATGTTGGTCCGGTCGCTGGAAGTTGACTTTGTCTATCAAGCTCGGACGTAAGAACTCGGCATGCACAACCCTAAGAAGACAGCTCAGACCCCAGAATGTCAGCGGCAAACCGGGATGGAACGACTCACGTATCAATGTGAAATAGGCCCCAGGCTGATCGCTTGACCGAGATCTCCATATCGCCGGGTAATTGCCCTGGGATGAGACTAGGGCTCCTCGGACCGATTAACCCTAGGGAATGACCGGTCTGGATGGCTTGGTGGAGCATGCGATACCCAAGGTCATCCTTGCCCGACATCGAATACCTCGAACATCGGTTACGCGTTGAGTTTGATAGTGACCGGTCAACCGACTTACCTCTCGTATAGCAAAAGTGTGCCTTGCAAGTAAGCCAGGCTCAACTTCACAGGTTCTTCCTCCCTCAAACGTTCCGCTTCTGCCAGGAAATCGACTCCCTTGGTCACAACATCCCCCGGATCGACGTATGCCTCGGAGTAGTCCGAAAAGTGCTGCATAGTTCCCTCAGTCAGTCTGCGATCGTAAGCTATCCGAGAGGCGCGATAGTTCAGCATTGATATTCCATCTTAATTTTTGTCTAAAGCGTCGACCACTGGAGGCAGAAAGAACGAGCGAAACAGAGAACGATAAAACGGTAAAAACTTACACATGCATTCGTGAGCAGAGCGTTCACCAGGAATGGGCTGCAGAACTCCGACTGGGGATTGGCCCGTCGCATATGCTCGAGGAAGACATCGCGGTCGAGGAAGGCATGAAATGGATAGTCCCAGGTGAAATACAAGGACACCAAATGTGAGACGAGGTCTGCATCCTCAGTCACTGTTGTCCATGGTCTGGCGGGGACGCGGTACGGCACCTCGTCACAAAGATAATGTATATCCATCACCTTGGGGCGAAAAGAAGGCCCGGCCCCTTCCACGTCAATCACGCGGCGGACCTCCTCCAGCTTGCACCCGGCCTCTTCCCCTACCTTGCTGTCTCCACCATCCTGGCCCAGGATCTCGTCAATGAACGCACGGATCTCCTCGGCCGAGGCATCATTCCGGATGATCTCCAGCAGCTGCAGCCCGTAGGACTGATCCTCGGCGCGCATCACCTTCAGCAGGTCATTCAACATGTCCCGATGGTAGCTCAGCTCATCGGCGGTGCGCTTGGCGGCCACTCTTCGTCGCTGGTCCAAGGTCTCGTCGAAAATACACTGTCGGTTGAAGGCCCGGCAGTTATCACACGGCGGCACTCCAGAGCACTGTCAAAGGTCGTCTTCTATGTCAACAACGGCTCCTTGCCGGGACGGTTGGGGGGGAAAGGTGTGGCGAGCAGCTGCTACATTTCACTGATGGGGTGATAACATTTATTCAACCGACACAACTTATAGATGCAGTAGCACACGCAGGTGGGGGACTCGCCTTGCGTTTGGACTTCTTGCAGGCCAGACATGCCATTGACACTCGTTTCTTTGAGCCATCGCATGGGGTGGGAAACGTTCTGTCGGGCGAGCTCTCCCGCGACGGAGGTTTCTCTGACTTGCTAGGGGAAGGTCCGGGAGCAATCTGGCGATGTTGGCTGCCGAATTCACTCATCATGCCCCGAATGAGACTATTGGTGGTGGTGGTGTTGTTGATGCGGTGTAGTGTGGTGTGATGTGTGGTGCGGTGCGGTGCGGAACTGTACATAGAACGCAGATCTGGTCGGTACAGGGCACGCGGAGTCGAGGAAGGAACGCGAGCGGCCAAAGAGCTGCCTACCCTGTCGGAAAATCTCTTTCTCTGCTGAGACATGAGGAGACTTCCAGTTGACCTGGTGATGACGTACAAGTTCAAGGTACCACCTACGTTAGAGGCGTCAGGAAACCTTGTCCGAGCATAACAGGTCGAGCGGGGGAGAATTATAGCCGATTATGCATGGCTGCAACATGCCAATCACCATGGCACATCTGGGGAGGAGTATCCGCTTCGAGATGGAGGTGACGGGAGGTGACGGGAGGTGACGGGGGTGACGGTGATGACACCTGAGGCCATTCATGGCATGTGGTTCTGCTGTGGTTCTGCTATGGTTCTGCTGTCCGTCGAGCAAGTTGATTGCAGCTTGGAGAGTCCGGAGAAAGTGTCCAAGACCAACGGGAGGTGGAAGCCAGTCCCGGATGGGATGAGTCGGACAATCACATGTCAAGTCGAGACCAGCCAAAACAGCCAAAACAGCCAAAGTTATGCTCATACTTGAAAGAATCCTTCAGAAAACAAGGATGGATCGGAGGTACAAACTTAATTTTCGGAGAAACGGAAAACGGCATGGGCTGAAGAAAGATGGATGGAATCAACAGAAGAATTGGATATTACGTACGGTGATATCTCCTAACTAACTAACCCTGGTCCACATTCGGCACTTTTCTCCTGGGAATGCCACCTTGGACCCAGCAGGCTGGCGCCCCAGGAGTGGCGTCCGAATGCTTTCCTATTAGAACAACACCAAATAACAAGACGGACATATGCAGACCTCAGGCAGAATGGGGAAGGGAACAGAAGAGAGCAGGTCGCTGGATAACTAAACTAGAAGTTTGACTCCCGCCCCGAAGCCATGGCCGTGGTGGAAAGCTACCTGGAAATATGTGAATCACAACATCTTTTCAATCAGAAAAAGTATGATGCAGACAGGAGAAAAACACGTTTCCCCCCGCTGCTAGTATAGACAGATCTATCAGTCCATGCCAGTTCCGCCTCTGAGTCCCCGGACCATCGGGGTGAGAACTGAATCTCCACACGTCAACCACCCATCTAGTGCTCCAGGATACGCAGGCTGCCCTGCACGACACAGTTCTCGAGCACAGAGCCCGGGGGAACGTCAATGGTGCTGCCCTCGGTGGCAACAATGATGACGGTACCCTTTAGCGTCACGTTGCGGCCCAAGTTGACAGCACCGGTAATGGTGAGGTGGTCGAGCTCGACAATGCGAGGAATGCTAGGGATGTGCTTCTGGAAGTCCGAGACCTTCTTGAAGTCGGAACCGAGCTTGATGACAGGGACACCACCGAAGCGGTTGGGGTCCATGACCAGCTGGCCGTGCTCCAGGCGGTAGAGGTCGGACTTGACCAGCAGGAGGTCCGAGCAGGTCTTGACGGGCAAGAAACGACGGCGAGGGACGTTGACACCGTGAGCATTCTTGAAGTGGCGGATGGCGGCACCGACGGCAGTCTCCAGCTGGTAGATGGCCTGGTCGGCCTCGCCCTTCTTGTCCGCGGCGATGGACTTCTCGTTGGCGATGATCTCCATCTCCAGCTCGTTCTCCTCAACAACCCGCTTGATGGCGCGGAGGTTCATCCAGATGTTGTTGGTGTTGAAGTACTTGAACTTCTTGATCGACTTGAACTCGTTCACGTGCTCCTTGGGCACCTGGGCGATTTCGAGCAGGCGGACCTTGCCCTCGTAGTCAATGATGGTACCACCCTTGACGTCGGCCTTGGTCTTGTCGGTCAACTCCATGATGTACTCGGACTGAGTGTCCACCATGTGCTGCAGGATGCGGAGATCCACGACGGCACCCAAGTTGTCGGCGTTGGAGAGGAAGATGTACTCGACACCGCGCTCAAGGAGCTTGTCGAGGGTACCAGAGTTGTAGAGAGACTCGAAGACGTCACCGTGTCCGGGGGGGTACCAGTCCTGGAGAGGAGCATCGAAGGACTTGGGAGCGGGGAGGAGGGAGTCCTTGATGATACGGGGGTAGCGGGACTGGTTGAAGGTGATGATGTCGACGTTGTGGCCCTGGTACTTCTTGATGATGGACTGAGTGTCCTGGTCGGTGTTGAAGGAGTTCATCAGGACGAAGGGAACGTTGACGTTGAAGGTGCGGTTGAGGTGCTCGATCTGACGGACCGAGAGATCCAGGAAGGACATGCCCTCACGGACCTCAATGACGGACTTGGGGCCAACGCATCCCATGGAGGTACCCAGACCACCGTTGAGCTTGACAACAGCCAGCTTGTTCAGGAACTCGACCGAGGCCTCGGCGCCCAACTCATCGTAGCCAACAACCTGAGAGGGCTGGGGGGGAGCGATGCGGTCCCAGTTGACCTCGTTACCCTTGGCCTTGTCGTTGAGGAATCTGCGGAAGAGGGCGAAGAAGTTGTCCATCTCAGCCTCGAAGCGCTTGCGCTCCGTGGCATCGGGAACAGTCTCGGCGAGGGCGTTCAGGGCGTTGCGCATCTGCGAGGCAGCCACGCTGGTGGAGGCATTTTCGAAGGCCTGGATATCCATGCTCATTAGTATCGAAACTATGGAAACAATGGCCGCAGAAGACCAGAGTGCAATTTTCCGTCGTCCCATTCGCAGGTAGTAAACAGACTGGGCCGCTCTTTGCAACCACCCTAGAAAGTGGAAGTTTGTCCAGAAGAGGGCTTGCAGGCCAGACGAATGAGGAGGCGGCTGGTTAGGAGATCCCGTATCTGACCCGAGCCGATGAGCTGGCAAAAAAGGCTCAGGATGTCCAAGGGAGAAAATTGCTGCGTTCTGTCAAAGAACACAGCCAAAAGAAACAACAGAAAAGTGCGGCCGAAGCGGCTATTGGTGATGGTTTGACAAATCACAAGTAGCCGCGCGAAGTACAGCGCCTCTATGAGAGCGAAATAGAACAGGAGTGGATAACAGCAAGAGGAGCAGGTCAAGGTGAGGCAATCAATGAGGGGATCCCAGTCAACAACCCCCCACAAGCCGAAAAGGGTGAGTGGGGACAGGGAGGCCGAAATGATGACAGGTGCTCTGGCGAAGGTTCAATAGGTGATATTGTAGGCGATAAAAGCAATGAGAATGAAAGGCAAAGCCCAGAAGGCAACGGTACAGTCAAGGACTGGCATTTGCTTGAAGGGAGTATGGATATGCGATATGATGGTGGTTAAGAGGATAACAGTTGTGAGAGAAAAGAAGAACCAGGAGACCTGGTGTTATCCTCTACCACACCAGTAGCAGGCTATTTGGTCTGGCAGGCGCACTCTTTTCATTGCACTTTCCACCTGGCGGATGGAGGTTTGGGACGACACAAGGCAAGAGCACGATAATGAAGAATCAAAGTCGAACTTACCATGTGAGACTGGGACTTTCCGTGGTGCTTGCCAAACGAGCCGGAGCTGGCGTCGCCGGCAGGAGCTCTGAGGTGAGTGGGCAAAGCTTTGGAGGCCATTGTGAAGGTAGTGATTCCGGGGAGGATGGAGAAAGAGAGGGAGAGAGAGAAAGAGAGAGAGATTGAAGAGACGAAGTTTGTGAGGAGGGGAGGAGATGCGAGAAGGTGGAGGACAATAAGCTGCTACTACTGTGGATCCGCGACAGTTGGTTAGTTTAGGTACCTTAAGATGTAAAGGTGTATCAACAGCAGCTGAAACCGGGAAGTCAAAGTGGTTCAAAGTGGTTCCAACGGGGGGTCCTTTTAATGATGATGGAATCTCGCCACAACGCCCGTTAGGGTGTGTGTCTGTGTGTCTGTGTGTTTGGGGTGTATGTCGATCGCATTGGTAGGTTGGATAAAGGGCTGGTCGATGTCGACAGATTGCCGTCATGGACCCAACTATTGGTGCGACGAGAACCACCACCGACCAGGGGAAAGAGCGGGGGAATGAGAAAGGAAGGGAAGAGAAGAGGGGGAGTTCAGAGAGGTTCAGAGTACTGAACTGTACGGTTACTTACTGGAGAGTGGGAGATAGAGGAGAGGGAGGAAGAGGCGGAGGAGAGATTAGAGATGATGAAGGATTCAAGAGCAGAGAGGAAAGGGAGAAAAAAAACTAAAGCGACTCAACCAGCTGGGATGAGGATGAGAGGTTATTTATTAGTACACTTTTCTTTTTTTTTTCTCCTTCTTGGATCAACGATGACGATGTCTTAAGTCTGGCTTTGGGTTATTTATTTTCGGCGGGACAAAGTGGGGGTGTGGAAGTGGAAGTGGAAGTGGAAGAGGGGGGCAATTTTCAGGAGAGCAGCAGATTATGGATACCGAGTCATAACCAATCTTACACTAATCCACACTAATCCGTAGTCTCAGGGGAAGGGAGCCCGTGACAATACCTGACAGGCTGATAGGGACAACTTCAGCCTTCAGGACTTGCCCAACAAATGTTTCTTAACTTCCTTGGTCGGGAGGGGCAGCGAAAAGAGGGGCGCTATTCTTAGTACTCCAGTCAGTAACTTAGCTTCCAGTAGTTGTTCTTCTCTCACTTCTCCCAGTTCACCACTACTGCCCAGTGGTAATGGTCCAGGCTTGATCCTCTCGTTCCTCCCCTCAGCTCTCCCTCTTCCACTTCCGATTCACAAGAGCTAACCGCCATTCTAAGCAGTTAACCACTCAGTCACTCAGTCCAGACAGAAATCCGTGACAGAATGATCGGATCAATACACCCATCCGATCTCTTCTCTCCTCGTCGATCTAGATACACATACGCATACACATAGCCTACCGATCTACCCCTCCCTCGTCTAAACCAGACAAACCCATCAATTGAATTCCAGGGCACCGACAGACAACCAGACAGACAGACAGCATTGCAGATGAACAACTGTCATGCAAGTCGCCTCCAACACATCCACATCCACACATCCACAACCTCCCTATTTCCCTATGAAGTACGTAGTTCTCCGTACCAGAAGACATCATCTGACAGCCGGTGCTTCTTTTCCATCCCCTTCTAGACCCATCAGTGCAGCACAGTGCTTTGATCACTTTCTTCCCCCCCCCCCCCCCTTTTTCTCAAATTCAGGGTTCAATCAGGCTTGCCCCACCAAAAAAACCTCGTCACCAAACTGGAGTTGAATTTGAATGAGACCAGACCGGCAAGAAGCTACGTAGTCGACTACAAGTCTACCTCCTGAAACTCTTCTTTCAGAGTAAGTGACTAGACTGCGGACAAGGAGTAGTTACTGCGAAAAGAAAACAGCAGTTAGAACCTTCCACCTGCCAAACCCTCGCAGAAACTCAGGTAGTATGTTTATAGATCACAATCCCACTCCGCCATCCACAACCACATGACATCGGAAGTTCCAGAGCCCAGAGACAGAGTTCATAACAAACCCTACTAGTAGTGATCATCACCAATATCAACCTCCCAAGCCATTGATTGATCATTGATCAAGTCTCACTCTCAAATCAATAGATCCCTCCACACAACAACACATGTTAGACATTCATTGCTAATAATAAAAAATAATAAAACCCTTTTCGGTCACCCCCGAAGATGTATCAACAAAAACATCAAAAATCCCCCGGCACCGAGAGAGAGCCTCAAGCCCTCCTCCCGATTTAATTTCCCGTGACAGCTCCATCTCCAGCTCCAGCTCCAGCTCGAGTCGGAACCTAAATTCTCCTATTTCTCCTAACCCGACAGTCCAAAAATCCCACGGAGTAAACCCCCCTCTCCTCTCCTCCTTTTAAGATTTTCGTCTCGACCGACTGCACTACACTACACTACACTACAACACAACTGTCCGAGTACGAGTCCAATAAGTTAACTTACATACAGTGAAAAAGGGAAAGTAAAAATGATACGTGACCTAGGTACGTACTCATGTAACTCCGTACTCCGCGGACTAAACAACCATAACCACAACCACAACTCCCGAGTAAAAATAAAACAAGAAACCATATACTCGAGTCAAAATCAGAGTAAAATCATCACGAACTACGTACGGTAAACCAAGATTAAAAAACCTACAACTAGCTCTTAAGTTAACAGTCCCAGAGATGCTAGGGAGAAAATTTAAAAAAAAAAAAGGGATTAAAAAAAAAAGAACCAAATCACCCATTTAATTACCTACTACCCCTTTAACGCAGACCGGCTTTACCATATAGTGAACCAACTAACTTAACTCACTCCGTAAAAACCAAACCAAACTAACTAATGTATGTATGTCAGTCCAAAACACGATACGGACCACCACCCGTTGAGATAGGTACGGAGTAGTTAAGTGACAGCTGGCACTGGCGCTGGCGGCGACGGCGCCCGCCATCCACGTTGGGCGCCACCTCCTCCTCCCTTGCCTCATGCACCATCTACTTATGCATTCATACAAAGGTACCGCAGAGTAGAAGAAGACGTCGATCGGCCTGGAAATACCTACCCCTCACCCGAAGGAGCAAGCAAGTACGCCGTCAGCAAGCTGCAAATACAAGCAATGTCCCCTCGTTGACTAGTGTAGGTAGTCATCGATCTGGCCAGGAAAGTCTAGAAAGAACATCTGCTGCCCCTGTAAAGTGGATTGATGAATGCCCCCACTTGTTCAACAATGGCGGACGGCTATCGCCCGGCGCCATCGAATCCCTCCCTACAGATTCACAGAGATGGTCAAAGGAACCTTCTTACACCTCTAACCGTTCACATACTGAACAAACCGATATAGAGATATATAATATATACAAGCAAAACATAGCAAAATAGCAAAGCGTCTGATCCAACCGCCCCGAGTATTCTCATTATCCAAACGCTACGCTAAGTGGGCAAAACACCCCAAGGATAGGTATCACATCTTCGTCCATCTCGAACCAAATGCAAAGAAAACGGAAAATAAAAAAAAAAGCGAAGCAGAGCAAGATAGTATATGAAAGAAGAGCGAAAATAAAGAAATAGTTCAGGTCGTTAAGCAATAGCAACAAGAAAAGAACCTCCCCTCCCATCAAGCTCCGCTGACGTTCCGCTTGCTGAGGAAGCTGCGTCGACCGGCCTTCTTGGAATCAGGGCTGTCCATCACCTCCGACGCGGCATCGTTCGTGTTGGAGTGCGCAGTGCCGGGCCGAAGAGTGGATTCCGTTACCGCAAAACTGCTCCGGAGTGTGACCGTGCCACTGCCCGCCTTGACTGACTTGTCTTGTCCAGCAACAGATCCCTGATCGTCCACGAAGAAGATCCCTTCACCCAACACCGTGTCCGATCCAAAAGTGGCATGGTCAACCACTCGCACCTGGTACTGCGCATCAGCAGTGGTGTTATGCACCCGACAGGTCTCATGCGACGGGTCATAGAACACAGGTCCACCACCCGTCTTGTGAGCCTTGGTCTTCAGAACATCTTTGGCGCCCTTGGGGCCAACCGCCTTGATAAACACCCGCACGTGTGCGTTGGGTGGGTATCCGCTTGCAGAAACAACCGAGATGGTGGCCGTGCCAGCCTCGCCCTTGCCGTTCACCCCAAGTCGGTCCCCATAGTGAGAGGCGACGCTGCGGCTGCGCGCGTGCTGCAGCTCGTTCTTCGGAGTAGAGCTAGGCGGTGTCTCGCCCTCCACAAGGACAGCTGCCGGGGCGAGGTTACTTTCGGCCGCGGGGGCTTCTTCGGCCTCTTCCGCAACCTCGTCTTCCGCACGGAATCGTGACATGAGACCATGCTTCAGGAAAGACGCACCCTTGATCACATTGCCACCAACGAATCCCACACCCTTGACGGGGGCGCCGACAATCTTGCCGGGGGTGGCGAATGTGCCGTGGAATGTCGAGGACCCTTGTCGAGACCGGACCACATAGGCCGGCTTGAACAGCAGCTTCAACCGAATTGCACCGGACTTGCCATCGAGGGGATATGTCACTTCTTTGCTCTGGAAGGGTTCCAAGACCTGAAGATCAATCGGTGTTCCGCCCAGGTAATCGGCCTTGTCGCCGAAGTCCCAGTCGTACACATCGACCCGGAAAGACGCTCCAAGGCGGGACTTGACGGGAGCCTCAAAGAATTCATTCCAGGCCGGGTGGAGCGTTTTCTTCTGCACCTTGGTCTTGTACACCATCTCATCATTGAGGCGGAACTTGCAGTACGGGTCACTGTAGCCGTTGCGGTCGGCCGAGGGGAGATCGGCAGCATCCATGACGTCCACCCGCAGAGTACCCATGTTGTTGATACTCTCAGTGGGGTCGAGCTTCATCTGGACCGGGATGTAGCGGGCACTGACAGTGATCTTGCTGATTTCTCCGTCATTGGACCGAAGAACCAACTCAGTTGGGGTGTACAGAATTCGCTGCAGAGTGGAAAGCGTATCACCCGTCAACTTGGCAATCGTGTGATCGTCGCTCTCATCCTTGGTGTCTTTTTTGTCGATGATCCGCATCGTGATCTTGGAGAATTCGAGCTCACGAACGAACGCGTCACCAACATCCTCAAGCTTGGCTGCCTTCGTACGGAGCTTAGGAGAGCTGTACGCAGGGAACATGTAATCGTCCATCAAGATTTCCACCTGGACATTGTGTCGGGAAAGCTGAACCTCGTGAACGTTAAACACCAGGAAACCGCACTCGTATTTGGGAAGGTCTTCCACAGAGATGTACGTCTTGGGAGCTTCCTTGATTGATCTGATGGACATCGTCTCCGAATCCTTGGCAGTTTGCGGGCGAGTTCCGTTTGTATCGAGGCTAGCACGGCTGCTTGCAGCATCCGCATGACCATTCGTAGTAGTTCCATTGGTGCCATTTGTCCCATTGGTTCCGTTTGGAGCAGCAGAGGTCTTGGAATCGATGCTGGCAGACTTGGAATGTCCGGCCGCACTCTTGCGCTTAGACTCCGTGCTTTTCCGACTCAGTTCCGTACCCTCCGTCTCGCCATTAAGGTCATCCGATTCCTCCTCGGACTCTTCTTCGGGATTGACAACAGGAAGAGCTGGATAGAAAGCCACGGAGTAGTTCAAAGTTCCTTTAGGTGAGCCGTTTCCAAGACGGAGGCCGCTGGAGATGAGCTGCTTCTCGTCATCAACTTCATATTCGCCATTCTCATTCTCCCGAACGTAGTCGCCAGCTTTGATTTCCGTGGCACCTAGTGATCGATCGCTGTTGATGGTCTCCTCATCCAT